CACACACACACACTCTCTCTCTCTCTCTCAAACACAGGCACACACACACACACACACACACACACACACACACACACACACACACACACACACACACACACACACACACACACACACACACACACACACACACACACACACACACACACACACACACACACATTCTCCACTCCCTATAGTAACGCTCACAGAATCCCATTAACGCCAACATGGTTCTTTGTGTTTGTGACGGCAGTACGTAGCAATCTGTGTCTCTTTTTAACGAACCACGCAACAGAAGCTATCGCTGGCCGGCCTGCACTCATGTGTAACTCCATCTGTATGACGCACTGACAGAAGTTGCTTTCACTAATGTGGTGTTTGTGCTTGCATGTGCCAAGCTGTGTTCAGCCCGATTTCCGCGGCAGAGTTGTGATTGTTCCGGCCGAGCGCACTCACATGCCATATGTTTTTACAGGCAAACACGTGGCCTCTCAGTGATGCTCATGGGATGTTCCAGTAAGAAGTGCAATGCAATGTGGATGCAGCAATTACTAAAAACTCCATACAACTGACAAATTCTACGAGTTAGGGTCTTATTTGTAGAATAGAGACTGACAAGTGCAGGATGGTTTTAGACCTTTCACTTTGGCAGGATGACTTTTGATCCATGACTTACACACCCTGGTTGGTTGTTTAGCTTTAAGAATGTCAATAAACTTGCAGAAAAGTAATGATTTGGTGATATTCATCGTGCCCTACTCATTTTCAGGTCCATATTACTACGTAGTGTCTCTACTGTGACTTGTTTCCATTCTTTAATGTTCAACAGTTCTTTATTTTTCTCATACTGCCTGTGCTGCAGCACCTCTTTTCACCCTCTGTCTGAAACCAGAGCCCAGTCTGCTCTGATTGGTTTGCTGGCCGACTCTGTTGTGATTGGTCAACCACTTGTGTGTCCGAAATGTCCTGCCCCTTAGCTTACCACGTACAACGAGCTGGAGTGCTAGCCAATAGCAGCGCTAGGATTACATAGTGATGTTATATGTCACGGAAGTGAACAAAGGAAAGGGAAAACATAAAACATAATAGGAGTCTTGTCTACACTTTAATTGATCAATTCAAGTGATCACGTTGCCTAAACTAAATTCAACACTAACATTAAACTGTCCCAGGTGGTAATTGTTATATATATTTGTTCCTCTCTGTAGTGTGGATCCAGACTCTCCGTTGACGGCCTTGATTGAGTCGTTGAATCTGGACAAAAGGTTTTCATCGTGACAGCCAACCATGGACAGGAACAGGAAGTGGGTGCCGGGTTTCGGAGCAGTGCTATTGACACTCTTGAGTCACATGACCTCGGCGCTGGAAGTGCCTCTTGATCGTAAGCATTGTTCTTATGGATATCCCTTTTACTAGGATTACCATACTGCTTTCGAGCTCTTGAAAACTGTTATTTCAATTCCATCTAACTCAGTGTATTGGGTAACAATGTCATAATGCAGCAGTTTTTTATTGTGTTTCAGCTTTGTATGTTTCGGCATGGACTCAAATTTCCAGCTTTAAATTATGAAATTACATTTTTAAAGAATTCCGTTTCCCTATGTCTTCAACTACTTTTCTTGCATCACTTGTACCTGCATGATGAAGCCGTAAAAGCATTCACGACGAAAGAGGGAAAACCAAGCTTCAGGCAGGCTCAACAAAATGCTTAAAAATACTTGAACGTTCGACTTTGTCACCTGAACCTGTGCTTTACTCCTTTCCAAAACTAACACCTTTCCTCAATATTCTATCACTGTGGTACGGCCTGTCATGGTGGACAAAAAGCTAAAGTACTGGAAGGATGTAAGTTGCCTCGAACACTGCTGTGACTTCCTAGATTTTTTTTTGCACTAAAAACTTGCTTTGGTGTGTTCTAGCAATGTTAGATGTGCATGCAGTTATCTCAACAGTGTTTCAGTGTGAAGTGACTTGCTTGTTTTTGGAGTGATGCTTGTCTTATGTCAGTTCATGGACTGGTAAGTTGCTATCAGAACAGATAGCTGTTTGCAGACGGTGTTAAAATATGATTGTGTGACGCTTGCTGCATGCATTTTTTTGGATTCTATAACCCCACCCCCAGTGTCATGCATTTCCCTGTATGTGTATGAAGTTTGCTTCCTTTCATGTTCCTCCAGTGCCCCAACCCCCCACTATAACGCTACAGTCCCCGAAGGATTACATCTTTGATCCGCGGGAGAACATTGTCATCCACTGTGAGGCCAAAGGGAAGCCTCATCCCAGGTGAGACAAACACTCCTCTTCACTTCTCAATGTAACAGAGTACATGTATAGACAAATCCAAGTCAATAACATGTATTTATTTTTGAAATAACGGCATCATTCAGGGACAAAAGCTTGTGAAATGATGTCATGCCAAAGAATCAACCTGAGAGTTTCAGCAATTAAGAGCCATCTGTTTCCATTCAGTTTTATGTGTGAAATTAAAGTTGGTTTTTTTGAGGGCTTCTCTTGAGCATTGGGGAAATGCTGTATGAATCACCATAGTGACTGTTGTCATGGACACTACTTCAAAAACACCTGGCGGGGTGATTTAGACAATTTCGATTGGCTATCAGCTTTTCAATCCCCCAAACTCCCTGCTTCGTAATTTCCTCTCTTCTGTGTTTCCCCGTGGCTTCTAGCCTAGAAAATCAAGTGCTAATTATCTTCCTTGTTGATCCTAGCTTCTCATGGACAAGAAATGGGACCCACTTTGATGAAGAGAAAGACCCCAAAGTCCTGATGAAGCCCAGCTCAGGAACTCTGGTCATCGACATCAGCGGGGAGAAGGCCGAGGCCTACGAGGGAACGTACCAGTGCGTGGCACACAACGAGCACGGCACCGCGGTGTCCAACAGCATCGTCATCAGGCAGTCCAGTAAGAACTCTGGTTGTGTTCAGTTTGTTGGTTTGGTTTGCTTCAGATTTTCGTGAAACTTGGTGAAAGGATTAGGGTTATGGTTGGGGTTAGGGTTGGGTTGGGTAAGGGTTGGGTTAGGGTTAGTAGAAAAGGGATTATTGGTTAGTAGAAAAAGAGTATGACATTTCCTTTAATGGTAGCTTGTGTTTTCACTACAATGTTTTAATTTGTGTGATGAAAGAATGTTGTAAAAAATATCCAATTACATTTTGGAACGGAATAAAAACACGGAGTTAACAAACATACAAGTTCTAGTGCTGGTTTGTGTAAAAAGGAAAATACTCTTAAGGCTTGCGCTCCAACATCATCAATATGATACATTTTTTATATGTTTTTTTTAGCTGTTAATCACAAGTTGCTTTTTCCATTTTCCGAAATGTGTGGAATTAAACTTTGTTCCTAGCTTCCGAGCAAATTGCGCCACTTTTACATCTATGAATTCATGTGATCCACACTGTTTGAGAATCTACGGGAAGCCTCCAGTGCCTTTTGTTTGATGTTTGTGTGACTCGCAGGGTCCCCCTTGTGGTCGAAGGAGAGGAATGAGGCCATCGTGGTGCAGATGGGGGTCTCCCTGGTGCTGCAGTGCCGACCCCCTGCTGGGCTGCCCCCTCCGGTCATCTTCTGGATGGATAACAGTGAGTCATTTGCATTTATACATATATGAACACATGCTACATGGAGGGAGAATTCCCACACCCTATAGAATACACAAACAAAGGATTGCATACTGCAAATTCAGCATTTAGTCACTATAGCATATGGCGACTCCGAGAATAGATGAAAAATAAAGCTTTTACTGACCTTATGAAATAGCAAATGTTTTGGTTGTAAAACAAAATGTAAAAAAGGTACTTACATATTGTTCTTTATTCCGTGTTCTTTGTCTCCCCGTCCTTCAGACTTCCAGAGGCTCCAGCTGGATAAGCGTGTGTCCCAGGCTCTGAATGGAGACTTGTACTTCTCCAACGTTCTCCCAGAAGACACCAGGAGCGACTACATCTGCTACGCACGCTTCCCTCACACACAAACCATCCAGCAGAAGCAGCCCATCTCCGTCACCGTGCTGGACAGTAAGTCAAGACACTAATTTCACTGCAAAATTAAAACAAAAATGTAATATTTGCAAATTTAAGCTTTCTGATTGTGTATTTTCATTCTTATTCTCTAATTATTGCAAAAATGTCCCCTTGATGGCACATTTATATGCATTTTTTTCACATTTTCTGATCAACAGAATTTACAATTTCTATTGTTTTAAATCCATGTGTCCCTGCAAAACTGCATTAGCTTCAGTTTTGCTGTTTTTTCCTTTAATCTACCTTTCCTAAGCTTTAGTGCTTCTAGTGGTATAACAATGTTGTTATTGTAGTGCTATACCCGTAATTTGTCAACAATTTCTCATCAATCTCAACAATGCACTTTGCACAAGCTAATGCATTAGCTAATGCATTGGTGAATTGTAAAATAACCCATTTCCTGTTTTCTTTCCTAGCTGTGCATGCTTATGCTTTTCTGTTATATTACAGTGGAAACAATGAATGAGACTGTGGCTGCTTTATACAATGTCACTGATTTCTATAGTGGTGAGTGCTGCTGGTTTATTCCCATTCAGCCCCCTCACGTGACCCCAGCCCTGCTTTTACCTCACCGTACCCAACACACACGCTCACCTTCAACTCCATTAACAAACTCTTCCTCTCATCTCTCTCCTGACAGTTTTTGTGTAGTAAGGCTGCTCAATATGTTGAGTGTTTATCATCATCGCAATGTCAGCTTTTGCAATAAACACAGAATTGCCGATTACGGTATTTTTTAGTTAGTTGAAAGAGAGTATGACGTTTTTTGTATTAGTAGCTTGTGTGTTCACTTCAATGTTTAATTTGTGTGATGAAAGAATGTTGTAAAAAATATCCTTTACTGTATTTTAGCAGTACTAAAAGCAACAGAGAGGGAGAACTAAGTACACTGTACTAAGACATCCATATAACTAATAGTTACCTGTTCCTTAGAAGGATAAAAAAAAGGCTGAGATGTACTAAGAAAAAATACATGATTTAATTTCCTTAGTTCTTGCTGATTACAATTATTAACTAAAATAAAAGCTCTGAAACTGTGGATTTTTACAAATAAAACCAATTTGGCTCTAGCTTATTTGCCGATAATTCTCTTATCATTTAATTATGATAATAATATAAATGTCCATGTATTTGAATATTTATTGACATATTGCATCCTGACTCAAATCTGTTTACATTTACATGGTACATGGTCATAAACGTGATCACATCATTTCCTCATATAGTGCAGCCTTATTGTGATTATTGCGGGTCTGATGATGAAGATTTTGGTGAATATAAAAAAAACTTGCCTGTAGGGTTAGTATCCGCAATCTCAAAAGCCCAGGATGTTGTAAGCCACATTCAAAGCATGCATAACATTAAATATCAACTAACTGCATCTCCCCAGGTATCATAAACACACTCTGGACTGATCTGCATCAAGAAAGCCCTCAATTGTTATCCAAGATGGCGACATGTGAAGCATGTTATTATTATTATTATAACATGGCATTGCTCTTTGTCCACATCCTGAAGTGGAAGGGGATCATTATCTGTATTATCTGACCTTTCCAGCTGAGGAAATGTATATCGTTCCATTAGGAATGTATGTGAGGCTTGGAAGTGGGTTGCTTTTAGCCAAGATAAGGCCCCATGTTGCCATAGCAACAAACCGACGGCTACCCCTCTCAGGGAGATACCCCCATGCTTTCTGATTCTGAGGATGCTGCTTATATAGAATATGATAAGGCTTTACTGAAAAAAACATGTTGGGTCATCTCATTTATTATCCTATTCACTTTGACATCCACTTTTCCTTCATGAGAATAAAAATGGCCGTCTGAGCCTGTGGTTTCATCCATGGTTACCATTTGTTGTTGTGTATCAGAGTGGTTCTGATGTGGTTGTGTGTCCTCGTGTCTTCAGAAAGCCCAGAGGGGGAGCGCCGCCCCGGGTTCATGACGCCTTTTGGTGCCACCAGCACCGAGATGGTTCTGAGAGGAGAGACTCTGGAGCTGGAGTGCATTGCTGACGGCCTGTAAGTAGGAATCTATAAATAACATGGAGACAGAAACAGTTTTACAACAATGACAAAACTAAATGTATTTGACAGCACAGAATGTAGAAATAGCAGAACAACAAGCATCCTGTATGTCCTCTGTGACAGGCCCACTCCAGAGATCTCCTGGCAGAAGGACGGAGGAGAGCTGCCCAGCACCAGGACGTCCTTCTATAACTTTAAGAGAACCCTCAAGGTTTCTGAGGTGAATGAAGCTGACGGGGGAGATTACCGCTGCACCGCCACAAACAACCTGGGCACTGCTTTCCACATCATTAAAGTCACCGTCAAAGGTAAGCAGCTTCACCTGGTTATTCATTTGTTTCAATCGGTGCATCAAGTAGATATTTTTGTTATCGCTACATAAGAATTTAAGGTCAATTGACAAGCAGGGTTGACAAGAGAGATATGTATAAACACTTTTGGTATCTTGGATTCTTAGACTTTTACAGTTTTCTTTGACTAAGATAAGATTTAAAAGGCCTAGACTAGAGTGTCAAATGAACAAAAACCCAAAAACTTGATACATAACAAAAAAATGGATATCATTTTAATAAAAACTGACTAAATGAATGCTAGTTTGTAATCTACCAAGCCGGCAAAACAAAATGCTCAACATTCATCATCAGATTCTATTTTAATAAAAATATCTCATTAGTCAGATTCAAGTTAATATTACATTTACTGTACATAGATACTAATAGTTCTGCACCCTTAACGTATATCATGTGGCTTCATCATGTAGCTTAATCATAAACACAAGGCTCCGAATTTGTTTTTGTCACTCTCAAAAATCTTGCTCCTCGTCCTCCACAGCGGCTCCTTTCTGGGTCAGCGCCCCCAGGAACCTGATCCTCGCCCCGAACGAGACCGGCATCCTGACCTGTCGAGTCAACGGAGAACCCAAACCCAAGATCAGCTGGTTTGTCAACGGAGTCCCCATAGAGAGTGAGTAAAACAACGCCATGCTTTCAAATAGATATTCTACACTAACACACATATATGTCCACAGGGCCTGACATGTACCTAAACTAGACCCTCCAGAAAAACGCGGGCTAAATTCCTTGATTATGCGATTAAACATGGGAGGTTTTTATGTGATTTTATGCGGTGAAATTGCGGGAAGTTGCGAAATATGCGGAAATATGCGGTGAAAAAGAATAACAATTTTTAAGAATATTGGGCTGTC